CATTTCCCACGTGGGCCCCACATGTGCTACCTGGGTAGTTTCATTGCCCATTGCCCACGTGGGCCCCCTCTTGTGCTACCTGGGTAGTTTCATTTTGGAGGCCAGAAAACCCTCATTGCCTGAGCGAACAAAAGGTAGCCTATCTGCACGTCGCGTAGAGCATATGCTGCAGACTCGATTGTAAGGTGCTCAAATAGACGATTTGCTATTTTTCCAAGCGCCCCGACCCGCGCGCGAAGAATTGTGGGAGAGGCTGTCCCTCGGCCAGGCCGCTCTGCCTTCAGATTTCATTGCCTTGTCGCTTGTCTCCTCTTAATCCTCTGTTTTTCTATTCTATTACCTATTTTATCTATTTCAGTGTATTTTTTATTGGTTCTAAGTCTTTGTATACCCTTCTGCGCGTAATCTTTCTTGTATTTATATAGTATTTGTATCTTTATTTTGCCTTTTTCGACGGGAGTGCCGACGGACAACACGCCGCTTCACGCGTCGTCCCCCGGGTGAGTACTACCGTTGGTACCAATTCCTATCGCGCTGTTAGCTGTTCATTTTGGTTCATTTGACCCGGGTGCGGTCGAGAGAAACTGTTTATAAACACCCGCGCACATGTCATAGGGGTATACGCAGAGCTCTGAATCAACAATCGCGACGCGAGAGCCGAGTGCGCTGTGATTTGGCCGCCCGCGCTCGCTCCTTTGACTCGCACTGTAGCCTATGCCTTCGAGTGCCGCTTAGTTGACTAAGATACAACCTGCCGCTTTGCCGTCCAACGGGAAATGTCCCACGTTTCCCGATTCCTGATTTAGAATGACTTAAAGCCGGAGTCAGCTTATTAAGACGGCCCATCGGAATCCGATTTTACAAGGAGCCGTCACCTGAAACGTTTACCAAATACCGTGGAAGCCAATACTGGCAACTCCCGCGGAAAACGGGCGAAAAGTGATTGCAGCGCCCCTGGCGAGCTCGGAGTCTCCGCTGGCAGACAAATTCTCCGAAATGCATTGGTTTTGCCTATGTCCGTGCGAGGTGACCAACGAAAAAAAATTGTCACGGACATTCGCTGCTTTGCAAGTTAAAAAATGGGTGCCAGCTCATGAGTGAAAGACATTCTCTTCCTGTGGGAAAGATGTTACAGCTTTCTGGGTGCAATTTCAGAGTTCTCCCGAAGAAAACATTCTGTCACAACTTATGTAAGCCAAGCAAAACACGAATGTATGCCTTCGCGCTGTTTCGTGAAAAAGGGAAATGTACAAACATTTCAAAACATAGCTTCGTTTCAACTTTATTGTTCTTATCAGTCAATTCGTTTTGTCGTTGCAATTCCCATTTCTCATGAGTGTCTTGCTTTAACCGTTTCGTCGAACAGGCGAGCTGGCTAATCCCGTTAAGATCGTCTCCGGATGAAGAAGCAGAAGTCAATTTCGAACCACGTACGTTACGGCGATGTCAGTATGCTCCGAAAGAAGGCGTTGTGCATATGCAAAGCTGACGCGATTATAGATTAACAAAGGCGGAGTTACGAAAAAAACAGACTTCTCGCGCTTGCAATGAAAGAAGGGGAGAGAGTCGTAGCCCCGCGAAAAAAGGTGAATTCAGTCACGTTATTTACAGTGCACAAATTCCGATTGTTAGTGCGGGGACGACCAACATCTGCTTCGCTGCTTCTTTACTTCTACGATAAAGGCCGACACCCGTTGAACCGTCTCCACTCTTTTCCTTTTTGAGTCTTCTTTCTTTTATATTTTTGAGGCGACGGCACTCTGCCGCGTTATTTCTTCCTTCTGCTTATACACGTTTGCAAGTCCGGCTTCAGGGCGCTGCCATCTTGCCTGTCTGGGGTGCGCTTGGACCAGTCATAATCCGATTACGAAGCCTTGCTAAGGCGTCATAATCGGATTATGCCCGCTCCCGAGAGCGCACCCCACTGAGGAAGATGGCGGCGCCCTGAGACCGGACTTGCAAACGTGTTAGTTAGTCCCGCCGTTTACCCGCGCTAAGTTGAACATCTGCAGGTATATTTTTTGTTTGCTTTTTTTTTTTTTGCCCGACGTGTAAACAATCGCGGATCCTTGCTTTGTTTGGCTTAGTTTTTACTCCCTTTCCTTCGCTTCGGCGCTTACTACCCTCGGTTCGTCTGCGCTAGGCCCGGGCATTTTGAAGGCCGTCTGCAACTTTGCTGTTGTGTTTGTTGTTTTCTTCCACTGTCGTCACCAATAACCTCCTATTTGCGCCTTCGATTGAGTTTCTAATCCAAAATCGTCATCCGTGCTTTTTGATATTTATTAAATATATTAAGAAGTGTAAGCTCGTTACCCATTTTTATTCGAATTTTATTTGTGTACTCCGGCCGGCACGTCTGCTACGGGTCATCGTTTGTTGATCAACCGGCCGCATTCAAGAACAAGTTTGTGCGATGTGGTGGAAAATCTTTCTTCTGCTTCCTACATCGATTTACGGACACCTACGTCAACAAGTACTTGAATGCATTTTTAAATTGCTTCGTCAAGCGAGCGAACGAACAACCCGCCAAAGCCACTGGAAAAAGAAATTTGAAAGCAAAAAAAGGTTACTCACTGCTAGCACATATAGAAGATTGCTGCCTGCGACCAAAACATTTCTGCGACTCTTTTTTACCGGGCAGTGTGAGCTGCACTACGTTATTTATATTCCCTCTTTTGTTTTTAGTTCGTACCTACGCCGCGAAAGCAAATAAAGAAATGTACAACAAGCAGCTGAAAAAAAAGGGTCGCTTTCTTCTTTTTTCATTAGTTTCGTCTGTTGCTTCCGCTTTGTTTGTCGTGAACTCAACACCAGTGGCGAACACCAGCTATTCATTTGCTGCTTTCCATTTTTCTTTCTTTTTTTCTATAAGTGCCGCAACGATCGTCCTCGTTGAAATAGTTTTTTGCTAGCTTCTTTGTTTTATTCGCCGTTGTTCACTTCTCTTTCCCGTTTCTTCTTATTTTCGTCGGGAATGGCGATACCATTTTTTCTGCAAAGTTCGGCAGGTATTTGCACGTTCATTTTTATCCTTACTTTTTGTTTTCTTTTTATGCTCCAGCAGCTCGTGCGCTTGCTCTGGTAATATTAACATGTCGTTTTTGCATGTTTTAACGATTACGACGTATTTCGAGTAGCTAAACGCCTTTTTTCCGCTTCCCAGACGCGTTTCAAACGCGTGTGATCCCCTGAGAGGCGTTTGAGACCGCTAAATAAACTGCTCTATCTTTGTTTATGCGCGCGTTGTTATTCGATTGTCGTTGCAGTTGCGATCAGTGGATTCCGCTTTGCAAGCGGACTGACCGTAATAAATTGTTTCTGCTGTTAGGGTGACGAAACGGGGCTTGTAAAGCTCGAGGACGTCGCGGAGCCTATACTTTTCCATTGCGACGACTGCTTCCGTAGACTCCGAGTCCGCTAGAGGCGCCACTGTCACGTTCGCCGCCGCTGCTATGTGTTTTCGTAGGAGTTTCCAGTATTGGCGAAGCTATATCGCATTTGCCTGGACTGAGCGGTCCAGGCCTCGGTCCGCCTACGCACGACATAATCTACACTGACATGGCGGAAACCTTGCTCTCGACTGCCGGCGACGACAGAACCCCCAATCACGTCTAGGCGGTCGCGTGGGTCGACACCTCCCATGGCATTCCGAACGCGGCTGCACTTTCGACCACTGAAGACGTCGACACTTCGCAAGCGGAGCTCGTGGCACTCCTCCGAGCATCCCACTGGGTTCTTCAAACGTTTGCACCAACAGACACCAAGCACACGCTCCTACTGTTCACCGACTCGACCCGCGCGTACAAAACTTGCAGACGAGCGTGCGGGAGCCCCTCAACGTACACGGCAATAGTCGACGAGTCGCTCGCCGCGTTCCTAGAACTTCGAAACAAGCTAAGCATCTAAGCTACTATTTCCTGGGTGCCTGCCCATGCGGGCATCGGCGGCAACTAGTGGGCCCAAAGCGAGGCGCGAGCAGCAGTTCGCCAGATGTCATCCGCGCCGAACGCATTCCACAACTCAGCCGGCGGGCCGACCCGTCTGCCGTCAAGGAAAGTGCTGAACAGCGAAGGCGGAGAACCCTGCGGCACCCACGTGAGGAACGGGAGGACCGCCCGGACGAGCAGTCGCGTCCCGTTCCTCCGATGCCGAATGACCTACCGAGGAGCACTCAGACCCTCGTCCGTCGCCTCGCGACCAACACTGTCTTATCCCCCCGGCGCTGCGCCATAAGTTCTTCAGCGACGACCCCCACGAGGGGGCGTGTCGGGTGCCGCAGGACCGCGACGGCTGCCTTTGTTGTCTGGGAGTGCAAGCGTCATGCCCGCGTCCCACTAGAGCGACATACAGAAACAAAAGACAAAGACAAGCCTCAAACCAGAGTCTTTCGCGATTTGAGACGCTTTGTAAAGTAACGGGGGCTATGCTCAAACACGAGCATCATGCACGCGAGGGTATCTTTGGCAGGCTTGCAATCGCTCGTGCCTACTTCGCGAGCACCGAACGACGAAACGCCTGCCAAAGGTATCATCACGAGCATGATGCATGGGTTTGAGGCTTGTCGCTGTTTTTTGTCTCTGTCTGTCGCTCTAGTGGGACGCGGGCATCATGCTCGCCTTCGGAAAACGAAACTGGAGGAACTCCCAGACGAGATCCGTCCGGCGACGTACGTCGATTGGATTTTGCCCACCAGTCGTGACAGGGCGATTGTCTTCCTGCTGTGGACAAAGCTGGCGGAGTTCGTCTACGACGACGGCGGCCCCGGCGGACGACTTTGCAGCAGCAAAAGGCGCTGGGACCAACACCCACCCACACCGCCGTGACGGCAATGGCGGATCCTTAGGCCCGCACCGATGCAGACGACAATGGTGCATTATATGTGTGTATGATATACATACAGATATATTATATATAACAGGGCAATAAAGAACGTTCCAACTATAGCAACAGCAACCCTTGAGTAAACTTTGACGTTTAGTGTTGTACTTGGCGCTAGTGCCAATTTGTTCCCAAACGCTTGCTGAAAAGGTTCATTATTAGAAGTGAATTGAAGATACATGACAAGAGTATATGATAACCTGTTACCGTTTTAATTCACGAGTTTCGTCGTCTACTACGAAATCATTGACACGTTGTACGAGTTAAAAAATGTAGTTACACATTTCTTTCGAGCCTCGTCCTTCATACATAAATTTTGTGTCGTTGATTCCGAGTCCTGATATTTTTGCATGAGGGGTAAAATAAACCCTCCAACAAAATGTGACACCCTAACATGCAGTGATGGTCCAACAGGGTTGTAGCAATCATCGACTACAGAATTAATAGCCGCAAGAAACCATTGTCCTTCTTTTTCGTACATCAAAGGTCCCCCGCTGTCTCCCTGAAAAAAAACAAAAAAAACAACAAAGAACGTTTTGATATTGAACTTTTTTCGGAAAACTTACATAAATAAAGCGGAGATATCATTGAAACAAATTCCTCCAGCTGATTCAGGGCAGCAAATTGGTGAATCACGGCATACTAACTGCCTTCACTTTTTCGGAATATTTTTTTTTTGTGCAATATTTGTATACGTTTTTGGCCCCTACGTTCTGGTGAAAAAAAAAACCAGTAGCTGAAGTAAAAACGCTCGGGACACCAATTAGTAATCTGCATGCGAAGAAGATTGTACAGCAATTGTATATTTTTTTAGATAAATGATGATACCGAGACAGCATGCTTTCTGGGGTATACGGCAATACCACTATGAAACAGTCCGAACGTACTCTCTATCGTTTTATAAAATTCAAAACTAAGTGTATTAAATTATTTCTAAGACGTGAATAAACGAAACCTGTTTATGTCGCGTCAAGTACACAGGCGAACGAGGAGACCGATGAGGTTGAACTTATCGCGATGAGTACAGACGAACGTACAGGAGAGAAAGCATTCAACTTCTCCGCAATTCTGGTTCATAGTGGACTCCATTGATAACATGGTAGGTGCGATTTGGTGTCCGTTTAAGGTGGGCCTGATCATGAAGTGCTTCTTCTGACAAAATTCAAAGTGCCCGCCTTAAAATTCATGTGCTAAACGCTACATTTAGGGGCCCGTTGCGCACGCTGCATAGAGCCATTGGGAATAAGAGACGCTTCAGGCTCTCTTCTGATATGCTTTTGTTACTCGATAACGCTGGTCATCATGTTGCAACCATTGTACTGGATGCATTAGCTCAGATAGGGTGGGAGGTTTCCTCTATCCAGATTACATTCCGGACATGCCACCATGTGACTCTCAGTTTCTCGAACCCTTTAGGAGAGGCTAAAAGGACCACAATTCTACTCCAAAGCGCACGTCTGTGCTGTTTTTACCAAGGGTTCAAAACGGCAACAGAATCCTTTTTTGCGAGTGCTATCCGACAACCTCTCAAAGCAGGAAGAAGCACGTGAAAATGCGTGCAGTGGCTTTTCTGGCTGAACTTTGGTGAATTCCTGTCTTCTCCCACAGGGTGTTTAAATTATACTTGAACAGATTTTTCTAAAAAGGCAAGAGTTACACGGCGGTTGTCTTGGGCTTTAACTTGTCAAGCTCAGTGGACATAGGATGAAATAAACGTCGCAATAAGGCGGCTAATTAGCCATTATAGGTCAAATTGTAAGAAGATGTTTTACACAGGATGTAACGATATAATCTGTACTGGAATAATTCTCTTTTAATTTGATGCATTTAAAAAAAATGAAAGGGATTTCGAGAAATCAACTGATAATTTTTTTTTTTCAGTTTCCTTTTTTTGCCAGATTTTAAAACTGAACTTTTATAGGGCGCCGAAGCCCTGCTCGGGCAATGCCGCCTAGAGGAGTGACGCTGTCTTTTCTGTCATGTCACTCTTACGGCACTGCGTCGACGGCGCATTCATCGTGGATGTGCTGCTGAACTAGTAACGACGTGACTGAGATGAACACGTACGTTCTCCTAAGCGTCATTGTGGACGTTTGCGGCGTTCTTTTTTTCGCGTACATTCAAAACTACCCCTCCATTCCCCCTCCCCCTCCCAAAAAAAAAAAAAATACAGGAACCGAAATCGAAGAGTGATCGACGCCTAAAAGGCCATTACCCTGTCGCAATTTCGTTTAAATGTGTGTGGCCTCCTATATTACTTGCCGCCGATACTGCGATTCCAACATCCATAAAACAAATATTTAAAAGTGAAATATTAGTTTTTAGTGAATAAGCTAACTTGCCGTGACGGTTTCTCCCTTATCTGATGCCCGCCAAGCCTGATAATTGAATGGGGAAGACAGCACTCGTTCGACTGTCGTTCTATTTTTAAGACAAGTATATTTGTATCAAAATCAAACAACATGTATAATGCTCTATCTACTTCTACCCCATCTGCTGATGTACAGTAAATTATTGTTCGTTTTAATAAAGGCACACGGAGGTGTCTCTATTGATAACGCTTTATATTTGACGAGTTTTAAAACAAATATATTCGTTTCTTTGTTTCGACGATCACAAATGTACGCTTTGTGCAGCTCTAGCGGTTGCAACAACGGATCGTGAATACTTCACTGAAACGTTCACGAAAGCTGAATTCAGAGGCACAGCCTTGCTTACATTTATCATTTCCGTTCGCATCGATCATGTTGTGAGTTTCTGCTCGGTTTCTTCTTGCCAAAATGTATAGGAAACAATTGGCAGCTAAGGGCGCTCACCCTCGCTCTATAAGACTCGTATCACTATCCTACCGGGTTCAATTGAGAAAAGCGGCACACGGTTTTTGCAAATAAACTAGGCATCGCCGAAAGTTTAAACTTCATGACAATGCAACGCTAGTGCTAATGACAAAACGTGAAATTTTGAGATCGCATTACCTTCATCAAAAGAAACGAGAGAAAAAATAAATTTGTTTGTGAGCCGACGCCCACCTAAGCCAAATATTCGTAAATTCAAGAAAATGGCACTGTGGTTGTTTGTTGAATTTATTTAAGAATTGTGAACAAGTAAAACAATAATAAGGTGGTAAATTGGGCCAGTTGGTTGGCGTCATTCATGATGGGGAATACAGTTCAGAAAACACAGACTACGAAGAGGAACATACACAACATACAGCATTGTCCTTTACTGTATGTTCCTCTTCGTAGTATGTGTTTCCTGAGTTGATTTCTCCATAAAATAAAGCAACGTTTGCTGTTTTTTTTTTGCTTTCTTTGTTGACAATCTTATTTTTTTCATACTAAAACTAATGCTACAGGTATTTAAGATGTTAATTCTTGCTTTTATAAATATTAAGCTTAGGTGGACGTCAGCCTATATTTGTTGTTCATTTCTTGGAAGTATTTTATGAAAGTAACGTCCTGCTTTTAACATTATGCATTATCTCACAACTAGCGTCATGTTCTCACTGAGTTCCAGCTTTCTACGATGAAGAGTCCATTGATCTGGGCCGATAGCCCATTTTTTTTTCTTGTTTTTCTATGGGACGTTTTTATTCTATGGTTTAATACTAGTCTTCAATAAAGACTTCAACTGTTTTGGCCAGCAGCTGTAACACAAGATGAGCCCTGTGCAATTCTTTAGATTTCTTTACACTTGATCCATTCTCAAAGTCTGGTGCCAGGTATGTCGCAATGTTAACTTGCCAATTGAAGAACATCTACTGGATAAAAGTACGAAAACAACCATAGCGTTTTCAGCTTGTTTTAGAAGGGATCAGTCCAATACAGTTTCAAAAAATTTTTACAGAATTTGCGATGCCTCTTTTTTAATACCCAGTTCCCATTAACAAACCTTCTTTTAGCGGGAAACTGAACCAATATGTAGGTTATCCGAGCTTTGTCGGGTTCTTAATTTTTTTACATGCAAAAATACGGGTGAAAGTTCAATCGAAAAGCCATAGTTCAATTTAGTTTCAAATGCATGCGCGCGTCTCATGGTACGAGGAGTCATTTAATATTCCGTGCAGTTGACGAGCAAATAAATTTTATCCTCAGAGAATAATACAATAATTCATACTTACATAACATGTTCCCCCATTGGAGCATAGAATGTAATTTGGAACAGTTGTGGCAAGTTGTCGTTCGCACTGTTCGTTAGTAATTAAGGATATATTCCTTTCCATCAAGGTTTCTGGGTGAGAACGTATTAAAAAGCGCTCCAGTTTCGATGATGACGCATCTTTCGTTTCTTCTGCTGAACTCTCACAATCTAAGGTATCTTTGACGTCTTCGTTAGTTTCGTTTAATGATTCATTCACATCATAATAGTCTGAAAAAGAATTGTAACACCGAAGATTCTTATTAGGAATATGCACCGATGAACAATTTTTCACCGTTCTTTGGGCGGCCTATATCCGATTTGTAATCGTTTAATATTTATAACGCGGAGGTCCATATAAGTGAACGCATGTACCCAAAATAAAAATATAACTATACATTTAAAAAAAAATTGAGATTGGTATATAGGTTTAGCCATGCAAAAAGAATACATCGTTTAGGAAAGAGTTACAGGTTCGTAAAAAAATGTATGAAATACAAACGGGCTTTTAAAAAAAATAGTAAAAAGAATACGTTTAGGCTTTTAGTTTTCAGAATAATATGTTTGGTCAAAAACAGCGTTAAACTTGCTTTGATCATTCTGAGAAAACGCGGTAAACACAGAATCCGTCTAACGAGAGTCATGCGTGCGCCATGAATGTCTCTCCTGGTTGCGGGGAGCTTTGGGTGGTTTCGGATGCACTGCGCACTCAACATACACCTGTGATCTTCGGATTGATCAGAATAATTACGACAAGTTTAAACTTCTTCAAGAGTAGAGCTCTTTACATGCACGGTTTAATGATAAGTTTTCCTGGGCATCCGTTTCTAATGGGCCGGTGTAGGGTCTTAAAATAAAAACAACCAATTAAATTGCAGACCCCTTCCTGTGCTGAAAGTGTTTTCAAAATTTCTACAGAAAAATATACACGCTAAATGATACACATTTGATGAAAAGAACTCTGTCCTAACATCTTGCCATTTGGTTTTAAAAAAAGAGAATTCGGCGGAAATCGCGATATGAAAACAAAAACAACTAATTCTAAACAATGTCGACAAGTAATTGGTTACTTTGGGGTCTTCATTTATTTTGAAAGTCTTTCAACAACCTAAACCATTGAATCTGCTTCAAAAATTAATGCATGCGGGATGCAAGGAGTAGCCCCAACGATGACTGAGAGTATTTTTCTTAAAGTATCGGCATCAGTATGTCGTGATAGATAGTCAGCAATCTAGCTTAAGAAAACTCGGGTCAGTGGTGCCGCAGGTGAGCCTCCTAGGACTCCTTCTGTTTAAGTTGTACATAAATAGCTCAGTAAATATTGACGACAGTCTAGGCTTTATAATTTACGCAGACGACACCAGTTTATTTTTTTCGTGTGAATGTGCCCACCAGGTTTAATGTTCGGCAAATAGCTTTCTGCAGAAGATAAGTTGCTGGAAAATCTCAAACTGTCTAGTCATTAATACAAATGAGACGATTGAAACACTTTTTCTATTCATAAGTGGTGTGTTCATTTACTCAACGGCTTTCCCTCTCACGAGGAAATATTTACTTTGTACAAATGTGAACGTTCTCGGTGTAATATATAATGAGTACATGAGCAGGGTCGCCAAAGTGCAATCTATAGATCGCAGACTTTCAAAACGTGTTCCCATTATTTATAAATGGCGACTTATATATTACCCCTTTCGGTCTTAGTTTTCCTTTATAACGTGCTGTTTTACTCTTGCTATAATTACTGTTTTATTGTTTAGGGTAGCACAACTACAAATATGCATCACTGCATATGCTCCAGAAGTAACGCTCCCACATTACAACATTTCAAAAACCTTCAAATAGTTCCAATTAAAGAGCATTACCATTATAAACTTCTTCAAATATCACAAACGTCTGTAGCGCAAAATAAACTTTTTTTATCAATTACCAATATCAAGTGAAGGACGCGTGCAAATGCAAGCCGTTGCGTTGATACATGGTCAACGCCTCGCTCAAGAGGAGACTACGGCCTCCAGATGCTGCAGTTCTCGTTGCCTAATGTCATGATTATGTACGCACACATTTGGAACGGATTTCATGATGTTGAGCAGAAGGGATATTCGTTTTTTTTTTATTCTCTAATGTAGTGGCCGGCGCTGGCATGACTAAAAGGTTTCTTATTCATTTAGTTTTACTTTTTGTTTTCAGCGCGAGCACCGCGTCACGTGCTCAGGCACTAGTGAGCGCGTAATTAAAGAGTTCGATTGCGGATGCCGCAGTACTCTGAAGTTCCTACATCTACCTTTTACTGTGCCTGTTATGACTGGACCTTTGACCTTTAAGAAATGCTTGTAAGGCATCTCATGTCTTTTTTGGTTTAATGTTGTGTTTTGCTTCTATGTAAACTTTGTTCTACGGACCCCACGAGTCTGTAAAATAGTTCATCTTCTTGCTGGTGGGGATGAGAAACTCTGTCAAGCAACAACAGTCATTTTTTCCCCTCTCCCCTCTCTTTCTCAGAGAGACACAGGAAATTTGTGAGGTGAAAATTAAAATTAAACTTGTGGTATTTTCTTGAAAACTTTTCATTCCACGGAATGTAACGGAATGTTGGACGCGGGATTAGCTTAGCCATATGAAAGCAACCTTGCTAAGAAAACGATCGCCGTGATTTCGCACTGTTTGTACGGCTTGACTGGCTTCACTGGATCTTAGTGTCAGCTACTCTCTAATTTAAGTATAATTAGATTGGAATAAGTCTCACTACCTGCCGACGACCATCTGCGGAGTAAGGTAAGCATAATGAACTAAGCATGACGCCACAACCTCTCACAATCTCAGTATGCTGGACTAAGCACGACTCCCCTCCGACGGTTGCCTGCGAAAAAATTTTGCTTTACTAAGCATGCCTCACCGCCAACGATCGTCCGTAGGCTCAGTATGCTGGACTACGTATAACATACCGGCGACTTTGCGTTACGGGCTAAGTATGCTGAATAAGTTATGAATCGCCAACGACGGTCGTCATCGGCTATCATGCTGGACCAAGTTAACTCGCCTCCGACGGCTGCTTACATACTTAGGTCGCCAAACTAAGTTCGAGTGGCTACAAAAGGTTGCCTACAGAATAAATATGCTGGACAAAGTATGACTTTCCGCCGACAGTCACCTGTGGAATAGGTACTATGGACTTAGTCTTGTTCGCTGCCGACGGTCGCCGGTGAACGAAGTACTCTGGACTAGGTTTAACCCACCTCTGCCTGTCGCCCGCGGACTAAGTACAACGGTCGCTTGCGGGCTAAGAGTGCTGGGTTGAAGGGGCAGTGCAACGGTTTTAATGTTGAAAGAATTGCCAGTTTGCATTTTTCATATCGTTTATACAAGCCCAAGTGACCAAGAACGCGTCACCTCTCCCCAAAAAACTGCTATTCTGCTGAGTAATCGCAAGGCACAATAGGAATTATTTGCCGATCTGCAGCCGCCTGTGGCGGCTACGGGAACTAAAATGACGGCGTCTCGGGGGGTACGTGGAAGTCAACAAACCCTGTCCCCCTCCGCTGCTACACTCGCCGTCAGCCCTCTGGAGAACCGTCCTTTGTGTCGATCACTCGCCGCGAATTCGGCGAGGCTAGTCCTTTGAAAGTCGATAATCGCAGAGGAAGCGGCTGGGGTCTCTTAAGAGAGGGCCCAAGGCGAAACCACGTAAACCCCCAGAGTACGTCACTCGAAAGTCGGCATGGAGAGTTGAGAGGCACTTCGACGTTCGATTTTTTTTCATTTTTTTAAAAATAAGAATTAGCGCTCCCAAGAAAATGCGGTTTACGGTTTTTCGTTCCATAGGTGACGCAGATTAATTTCCGCAGTTAAATGGCCAAAGTCTGAAAATCGTTGCACTGCCCCTTTAAGTATGACCTGCAGCCGAAGGTCGTATGTGGACGAAATATTTTTTACTTAATGTAACTCGCGGGCGACGGCCTGGCAACCAAGTAGGCTAGTTGAAGTATAATTCGGCAGCGTCTTCATACTGCGGCATAAGTATGCTGGACAAGGTGTGATTGTGCCGGCAGTTGAAAGCGGAGTGTGAATGTTTGACAAGGTAAAACTCGCCTCGCGTATCACCTGAAGGTAAAATATGCATAACCAAGTATGCTTAACTACGCATCCCTCGCCCCAGACAATCGCTTGCTACCGCTGACGAGGGTTAGCGGCAAGTCATACAGTTCCCTTGCTTGTGTTTTTTTTCATCTCCTACATGCGGCGCCGAAAAAAAGACGTTGGATTAAAGGTCGCATGGTTTGAGGTTATTTCCATTGTGAATCTTCGTTTGAAAGGGTTGAAAGAGTTACACAATTTCATACAATCCAGCCCATAAAAACCTTCTGTGTTACAAAATTGATGCAGCTTTTTTCATTCTACCAAACGCGATGAAATATGGCAGCTTTCCAGGAACATTATTAGTGAAAACAATTAAGAAAATAAGTTGTACGGTAATGAAATCGTGGTTTTAATATCCCGTACATGCACCGAGCACGACGTCAAGAGAGGACCTTTAGGACGACGTCCTACATGACGACGTTAAGAGCGACGTCTAAAACAACTTCAATGACTGCCTCAAGGCGACCTCAATGACAACCTCTAGGATTACGTCGACGACATCAGGTCACGTTAGCTTAGGCGACCGGCGCTTACGAGAACACGCGACCGAAGTTAGCATGACCGGAGCTTAGCCGACCAGAGCTGAGGCTTCAGCCACCATCGCCTCAGCCACGAGCACTTCAGCGTCACGCGTTACGAGGCGTCAAGTGGTATTGGGCCTGTAAGGCTGCCGCTTTAAAACAATTTATGTTTTCCGGATGTCCGGCTGCCACCTACTTCGGATACAATGAAATCATTGAAAACCTCAGCTACGGAACGATGTTCTAAACACAATATTCATACCAGGGGACTTTTTTAAAAGTAATCTTCGCATGCCTACACCCCCTCCCCTGGCCTTGCTTCCAGCTGTTGCAATTTTTGCAGGGCAAAGTTCCGTTCGACCAACACATCCAGCAGCGATTTGTGCGCTCATTTTGTCTTTTTTTATTATTTTTGTTTAAATATATGCTAGTTTGGGGGACAAACGCCAACGAAAATCAATACAACGGAACGATGCCGATGTAATTTGATGGAAAGAGGCAAGTTGGGCTGCCCTTCATTTGGAGTTTGAAGACTACTCCGCAGACGGCGCTTATTACTGCAAAAAAGGGTCCATTGCCACACTTAATCGTGCATCACTAATTCTTTCCAAAGATTATACTAAATAACAAAAACACGTGATATTAAGTTGTTTTGGCAATTTGCATTCATTTGATTACTCTAGCTGCACAAATAATATAGTTACGTATCAAACACACGGCGAACACCTTTGAAACTGCGAGTTGTGCTGTGATAAACACCCTGTACTCGGGGAACCAGAATCGCGTCAATGTTAACTTTCTTGATGCTGAATTTCGCAGTGACTATATGATCATTCACGTAAATTTCATACAAAAAGGTTAAATTTTGGTCAATTATCAGTTTGAAAAAAAAGTGAAAGCCGTTTACAACTCCCTGTAACACCGAATTAGAGCGCAGCTCTTGAGGAGGAGGAGGGAAGGGTACTGGGGGGGGGGGTGGTGAAATCACCTGGGGGGGGTTCACGTGATCTTGGGGGGTCACGTGACAATGCCGATGATGTCACCAGTGACGTCACTGATGACGTCATCAGTGACGATGACGATGCGGACTCCGATGACGTTATCAGCGATGATGACGATGACGATGCGGATGTCGATGACGTCATCAGTGACGTCACTGATGACGTCACCCGTGATGATGACGATGACGATGCGGATGCCGCTAAAGTCATCAGTGATGATGACGATGCGGATGCCGGTGACGTCATCAGTGACGATGACGTCATCGGGGAGGTCACGTGACCTCGGCGGGGGGAAGGGGGGGTCACGTGACCTCGGAGTGGTCACGTGACCTTGGGGTGGTCACGTGACCTCGATGGGGGTCACTTGACCTCGGGGGGTGACGTGACTTGGGGAGTCACGTGACTTTGGGTGTCACGTGACCTTGTGGGCCACGTGACCCTAGGGGAGGGGTCACGTGACCTTGTGCTGATCTTGGGGGTCACGTGACCTTGGGATGACCTTGGGGGTCACGTGACCTTGGGGTGACCTTGGTTACGCCGACGCGAACGGCGACGGCAACGGCGACGGCGACGGCGACGCCGCTCAAGCCGGGAACGGGTCCCTAAGAGCTGCGCTCTAAAACTTTGTCGGCGACGTCTGTGTTAAGAGTTAGTTCAGTCGATAACATTCATAGCCTTTATTATGATATGCACGAGTGTGCTGCCGTGTCTCTTGAGATATTTTGTGTGTATAGAGGCATTTCATTTGATTGGTTTGGAACATACATAATATAAAATATTCACTCGATCTTATATATATCCATGTAAGAACTAATATAGTGTATCATGCTGATATCGTACCGCATGCCAATCTGATCATGCTGCATATGCTGTGTCATTTATAGTAGTGAGTCATGCCGACGGTATCGCCCCCCTGTTTTCGGCTATATAAACGATGCCAAATAAACCTTGGTTGTTGTTGCGTTCACGAAGCCAGCAGTGTCGGACTGACTTTCTTATCAGCCGAGAGCCGGCTGATAGATATAGTTTATGTGCCGATAAGGATATTTGTTTTGTTGCTAGTTCCTATTTAAAGTGGGCCTACCCACATTCCCGATCAATAAACGCTAACATGTAAAAAAACATGGACTTTGTATCAGATATTTCAAAAACTAGCATGGGCTGCACGCCGTTCCAAAGAAATAGTTTAACGAACCATATGGAATCGCCCGCATTTGGTTCCATTTTTTAGCATTTAAGCATCCGCGGGCTCTCAATGGCAGGAATCTGACGCGTACTGCACGAAACTGTTTTATTGAGAGGCTTGAATTTTATATTTTCTTGTATATGTGTCTTTCTTTCTGATTTGTTTACGATAATTGACATGTAGAACAGAATGAGGCGAAAATATCACTTACCATAAACTCGGCCCCAGCCCGCACCACTGGCATTTGATGGCGGTTCTTCGCAGTGTTCAGGAAGGCAGATGGGCTGAATATACCTTGTAAAATTTACCGGTTCTTTTAATTTCAATAGTGCAAAGTCTTTCTGTAAAATAAATGAGTTCGTTTTAAGAAATACAAATTCAGTTTTTCTGTTTGTTTTTTAACAAGAATACATACCATAATAAGGGTACAGTTGTCCTGAAGGGGTACACAGACGTAATCCACTTCCATGCAAATGACCTTTTCTTCCACATCCTCATGGATGACTGTTGTGTCACTTCTTTCCAGATGGACATCTTTGCCTGTGTTTTGTTGACAATGTACGGTAGAATTGGTTCTTTTCGTACTTCCCAGGCGAACTGAAAGATAGCCTGGAGTGTCCTTGTTCCTTGAAGCATTAGGAAAATGGAAGAAGAATGGCAAAAATATGCATTTGATGTTGAATTGCTGAAGTCAATGTCAAAACCCAAAATGCCTCCACCATTTCAAATGCTGTATAAAAAAAAAAAAAAGAAACGGTTAGTGAGTTCACGACGACATATATTTCAGTCCTGATAACTACAGATTAGAAGAAACATGCACTATAGTAATGTACCGAGCGTTCCTTCTAAGACGGAGGAAAAAACTGCGACAGTACGTTGATAACAACAAAACTCCTCACACGTAGAAATTGTGTTTTTGGGGTCAGTTACTCTCGGAGGAATCATTAATCAATAGAGATTAACACATAAACTTCCAACAAAACGGTAATCATTATCGATAATAAAGGTCGCGGTCACATCGCATATTTAAACTGTTATTGTTTTTTAGTATTCAGAGTTTTGCTTAAAGCATGCAGTGAAAACCGCACTGACGCAGTTTTTCCACGTGAGTCGAACGACCAGGGAGACAAACATATCAGACCAATCCTTACGATATGTAAAAAAAAAAAAAAATGTACATACAATTTGTGAACGAACCTAATAATTAGTAAAAATAAACATATGGTTTCAATTATAAACTTGCTAAGCGTTATCGAGAACCATTTCTTCATCAAATTTCAGAAGGATTTGGAGTCCGTCGAAAGCGGGGGTGTGAATTAGGTGCGCGACGTTGTCGTTATATATACCCTCGTTTTCGCGCTACTATTCGCGACTCCAACTGAACAAACGGCGCCTAGCGTTCCATATTCGAGTCTACCCATTGACGGTCTCGTGCCAATTAAAGTCTATGCAACGGGATTGTTGGTCGCGTGGTGGTGAAAGCACGAAGCTGTTCCGTGAAGGACTGAAAACACGTGCTTTGAGCCGCGGATAGCGTTGCGCCTGTTACACGGGCTGTAACTTTAGCGAACCACCGCGTTTCTCAGGTGCTCTCAATCTTGCTCACATTTAATGACTTGATGTTTTTGATGACGCTCAGCAAGATTCTCATTGGAACTATATGTTTCTTTTCACTATTTACAAATTTATTTGACGTATTTTAGTTGATTACTAAACTTTTCGTGATGCTTAGCCTCGAACATTATGTCCCCCTGGTCGCTTAACTCACCTACATCGAACAAATTACTCTAAATTTGAGTTTTCTTTTTTTTTTCTTTAAACTAATACGTAAAAATTTCTTCCACCCGAACCCTCCCCCCAAAACGCTTCTGCGTCTAGCATTTGCGTCCGAAATAGGCGTCTGGCTTTGAGGCTAATTTTTGCGTCTTACATTTTTACCTGATCACCGTCGCCACAAATGTATTCTAGAAAATGTGCAATATATAGTATGATTTGTTAACGTTATCCACTCCGGTATTGATTTTCACGCATATGTTCAGGTCGCTATTATCAAATGTGCCTTCCTCAAGATCCGTATTTTGGGAGCTGAAGCGTTTCATGTTATTCAAATCAATAAATATTTGAAGCACTTTATTAAAATGTTTTTTACATAAAAAAAATCACTTTGGCAAACAACATTGGAGGCAAATCAGCAAAGCGTGCAACACACCTCTGGCGGTCCTTCAAATCGACTTGTGTCGTGCTTTCCGTCGAGTGCGCCATGAATTCTTGTTCGAGATCCTTAAACGCACCAACGTAGGCAACGTTCTTTTTCGATTGGGTATGCTTGTGGTACAATAACATATCTACCAAAATATTAGTAAAAAAAAATGTGTAGCAATTGTCAGTCGGAAAGGGGTGCCCGTTGTACCAACTGCAATTTGCGCTCTACTTAGAGCCACTGTGCAAGGCTATCCAAATGGATAAAGGAATCAGAGGGCTTCAACTGCTAATTAAACACCTGCAACTCGGAGCGTTCGCGGATAATGTTTTCGTTATATTTTGTGAAAAGAAGGAGCTTTTGAGGGCAATGGGCATAATTTAAGCATTTTCCGAATCGAAGCTCCACTTAATCCAGACAAATTTACAAGTACGTGGATGGGTAACTGGGCCTGCACGCCTTCAAGCGTGTTAGGGATGAAGTGGTCGCCCTCGCTGTAAAAGCACCTTGGCATACCGCTCACGTTGACGCACCCGAGACGTAAAACATGGTCGGTCAAACTTCAGAAGATGAGAGCGTCGCTCCTACCATGGCGCACACGAAGAATTCATCTTATCCAGCGAAGCTTTGTGTGTAACGCTGTTCCCTCTCCTCGTTTGATGTACGCGGCCTAGGTTATCCCAATCGACGCCATCACAGTGTTGAAGGAACATCGGCTCTTCGCAACGTTTGTTTGGCAGTCACCAAGGGAAAAAATCGAAAACCACAATTTCCTTTCTTTTTGTTCAGGACTCTGAACTAAAGGAGTAATGAAATTACGCGGTGGCCATTCCAGAGCCCTGGGGGCGCGCACCATAGCCAGTGGGTGGTTGGCATATCGGAGCAACGGAAAGCAGCTAAGTGCCTACGATTATATAAGAAAATTTACAAATCGATCGAATGCTTCGAGTCAAGGTACTCGTGGGAAAAATTGCCAGCAAGTGAAACAGGAAAAACTCGAGGGGCACAGCCAGAAGCATATGTCCAGCTCTTTTTTGCAGAAACCAATATCTTCTTTATCAGGTTTCACACAGAAACCCTGCCAGTAAACACTTGGTTGGAAACCCAGGGCTTCTACCTTCCGATCGGAACCAACTGCAGTTTCTGTGGTGACCAAGAGACTCTTCCTCGTGTATTTCTGGACTGTAATGGTGCCTTCTCTTGCTGGGCTGATTTTCGATATATTTTCTAATGTAACGTTGAGCCACGCTGGGAATCTCTCAAGTGTTACTACTCTGCTGAGGAACTGGGAGCGGACTTTGAGTCGTTGGTTGCGACGGCTCTCCACGCGCTGTGGCCGGACACTGCATGAGACGGCAGCGCGTGTGCGGAAAACCGCGTGGCAGCTGTTTCGGGAGAGAGCAGAGTGAACACTGAGTGCAGTTAGCACAGCACCATATGATGTCCACAACGTCTGGATCAATATAAAGCAGCAATTAAAAAAAATCGTCGTGGCCCGCAACGAAAAGCTTTCTGGCCCAAGATATGTTAGAATACGGGTGGGTCAAAGTGTTTTGATGTGTTTCTCTTTGTATGGTCGAAAGATTTCGTGGTTTCTTTTATTTGTGCGCATGCCTAAGTATTGTCTGCAACCAATGACTTGGCCATCTGACTGGTATGTACCAAAAACAAACTTCTTTAACAAAAAGTAAAAAAAAAAAAAGGAAAACGCATAGTTGATATGTGTCTGGCTCACAACTGACGGGTCGTGGTTTGATCCCACTCCGCCTGAAATTATTCAATCTTTTTTTTTCTTTGAGGCGATTGAATTGCTAATTCACCGTTCCCGATTTTCGGGTCCCACCGAGACCGGATTTTCTGCGACACGAGCTTCTTAAACCTATCGCTCTAAAGCCGAAGCGGGTCGCGAAATGGGCCACCGCTCATCTGCTAGCAGGTATTTTGAACGGGTAGATAACACAATTATTAGCTTTTACTAGACGCCGCGATACCTTGGGTTTTCGCACATGTAAGGCGGTTGAATCGTGATTCACTCACGTGCGGCAGTAACCCTCTTTTACTTTTTTGATTAAAAAGAGTGATCTCCGGTCGACTTACATCTGCGCCAATACTGTAGCTTTTTTTTTTTTTTTCTTCATCTGACCCTGGCCCAGGATGATAAATTTGAACATTGTTGCGGGTGTCTACAAATAAGATTTTTTTTTCTTTTGCGTGGTTGTTTTTGTTTCTGTTTATGCGCAGTTACTTGGCATATCTACCGTGTGTAAACTATTTAAAGGACCTTTACTCTGCCCGCAAAATAGGCTTCTCAATATCTCATGCTGCAATTTAAAACAGAAATACAAGCAGGAAGAGGATGTTAACAGTAAAAAAAAAAAATAAAAGAGGTTTACAATCTCCTGTAACGCCAAATAAGAGCGCAGCTCTCGAGGCGGAGGAGGAGAAGGTACGGAGAGGGGGTTATGCCCCTCATCCGTACCCATCCCTCCTCCTCGCCTGCTCCCCTCCCGTTTAGCCGTCAACATGAATTTCTTTCCCAAATATTCGATCAAATTAGTGCACAATACGATTATCTGACTCATTTTACCTGTTGCGTCTTTTGTCACTCGCTTTCTCATATAAGCATCTTGCAACAAGATTAAATTCGCAAGTAAGCAGAGAGAGATTGGGTCTCAAGGTTTAAGTTGCTGAAAAATGGTAACTAAACATTCACATTTCTATTGTCAGCAGCCAAGGTAAACAATCGTAGAGGCACTACTGAAGCAGGCGACACGCTAGGGAAACAATAATCCACCCTGCCGTCCGCCAGTGTTGCGGAGTTGCCACTCCGGAGTTGGAATGATTCCGGAATCATTCCGCATTTTCGCGGCCCCGGAATGGAATGGGAATGGAATGGCGGCAACGTTGAGGGGAATGCAGTGGGAATGGAATTAGATGCCTTCTGGCCGAAATGGAATGGGAATGGAATGGGGCCGGGTTCTTTACATTTTTTTTTTTTTTACGTTCAGCTATACCGAGCCAGTCAGGGAGTCGGTTGTTCAGAAATAAAACGAGCAGGAAACTGCGTACCCGCGTAAGGCCCTAACAGACTTATACTCAAAAACAAATGCAATACAAAAAACAAGCGTAAAAGCAGGGGGGAGGGGGGGGGGGGGGGGGGCGGCGGCGGTGCCTTTCACCAGTGAAGTTCAACACGTATCCGAATGCGTCTGCGCCTGTAATATTTCACGGCTCAAGGGCACGCCGACGTGAACGTGACCCGCTGCTCTGGTGATCCCACACCAAGGAAGGAGGCCAGACGTGGCCTCGCTGTGTGGACCCAGAGTTTGTACACCTGCGACTCGTCTCGAGCGCGCTGTTTCTGGAAGAGCTCGCACCTGTGCCGGCCATCTCAGGTCGCAATCCGCGAGCTCTCTGTTTGAATGA